TCTGGTGAAAATTTCATGTCATTAGCACCTCTAGTAATATATTTACTGAGAAAAATGTTGACGTGTTCAGTACTTATTTTACCCGCTGTATAGATATGGTCAGATTATTTGTATCCATTTGTTAAAAGAGACAAATCAATCAATCAATTAATCAATCAAACAAATTGATTTCGAACATGATGACCATACAAAGAGATAATGATACTTAAACATATTACACATATTAATTCAAAATACATATATTTTATGACAATAATAATCTCAACATGTTCGAAATGGAGTAAGAAGAAGTAAAAAAAACGTATAAACTCCTACCCTGTACTATTTTCAAATAATATATAATAATAAACCTCAGGCTGACTTAGTAAATTGTTAAATTACAATGTAAATTTATATTTAGCCTTGTACAACCCTTTGTGTTACAATCACTCCTCCTGTTTACACATTAAAGGATACATAAACACATGAATCTAATGCACCTGAACAAACATCAAGATTTAAGTAAATCTATTTCCATTTCACAGTTGCCTTTTTTTGACATAAAGCACACTACACGCACATATCTATGGTGACTACATATATATTCATCCATCTATACAAACACATTCGTATGCACTTATTAGTTTACATACAACCATTTATACACCCACTCACCCATTCATATTTCTATATCCTGAAAAAATAGCCTCCTTATATTTTCTTTTAAATTGTATTAAACTTTGACTCTTTTTAAGTTCGTTTTTAGTTTGTTCCATAGTTTGACACCATGAATTTCTAAACTCTTTCTTGTTGTGCGTATCCTACGACTCTTTAAATTTAAATAACCCCTTAAATTATACACCCCTTCATTATCAAGAAACAATTTCTGTATGGGCTCGGGTAATAATTTATTTGAAACCTTGAACATAATTTGAGCAGTTTTAAACTCCACCAGGTCATCCAATTTAAGAATTTTAGACTGTAAAAATAATAAGTTTGTGTGTTCATATAGTCCTACGTTATGGATAATTCTGATGGCTCTTTTCTGTAGGATACACAGTGGTTGTAGAGAGCTTTTGTAATTAATTCCCCATACTTCTGAACAGTACACTAAATATGGCAAGATAAGTGAATTATAAAGAATATAAAGTGATTTATTGTTCAGAAAATATTTAGCTCTAGCCAGGATTGAAATACTTCTAGATAATTTAATCTGTAAATGTTTGATGTGAGGTTTCCAACAGATTTTTTCATCAATTATCACTCCAAGGAATTTATTATCATATACCCTTTCAAGAATTATACCCTTTATCTGAACTTGAAAATTTTTAGAACAGTTTCCAAAGACCATAAATTTAGTCTTACTCAGATTTAATGATAATTTGTTGTTGTCAAACCATTTTTTAATAAAGTCATTTCCAAAGTAACTGTGGATAGAAGTTGCTGTAAATTCTCGCCAGAGACCAGAATTGTTATAGGGTTGGGCATAATCGTATCGTGTGCAATTAATCGTCAGAAAAACATTAATCAATTAATTTTTGGCAGTTGACAATCAATACGATTAATGCCAGCAGGCAGACTAACCGCTTGGTGTTCCTCTCTGATTCAAATATGACCAACATTTAAAAAAAATTGTGTAATTTATTTACCTATCAACACAATTTAAAGTTTGATGTATAGCCTGAAGTCTGATTTTTAAAACAATTTGGAACAGATTTTTACGAAGAGCCAATTTTCTCCCTATAAATTGGTCATGTGACTAGGACATAAGGGTGTCCAGGGACTCAGGGGGATTAATCGTCAAATTAATCGTTATCGGCTAAATACCACAATTAATCGTGATTAATTTTTTTTGCCAATATTGCCCAACCCTAATCAGCAAATAATACAAATTTTAACACATTTGAAACTTTGCACATATCATTTATATACAGATTAAATAATATTGGTCCCAACACTGACCCCTGAGGTACACCACACACAGTTTCCAAACAATCAGACTCAGTATCTCCTCTCTTCACAAACTGTTGTCTGCTCTTTAAATAGCTCTTCATCCAGTTTAAGACTACCCCCCGAAATCCATATTGTTTTAATTTTCTAAGTAACATATCATGATTTATTGTATCAAAAGCTTTTTTTGAGATCTATGAATACTACTATAGCTAATTTCTTACTATCTACATTATTGGTAATTTCTTCAATCAAATCAATTACAGCTAGTGAAGATGATCGATTTGCTCTGAATCCATATAGACTATTATTGATTAATGATTGTTTGTTTATGAATTTTCCAAGTCTTTCACTGAAGAGATTCTCCTGAATTTTAGAAAACTGAGGGAGAAGAGAGACCGGCCTGTCATCTGTGAAGTGGTGTTTATTTCCAGTTTAGTAAAATGGTATAATCTTTGCTATTTTCATTTTGTTGGAAATATTCTGTTTTGAAATGATAAATTGCAGATTTTTGTCAATAGTTTAGAAATACCCTCAATTCCTTTTTTAATTGTTTTCATATCAAGACCATCACAATCTGTGGATGATTTATTTTTACATTTGATCACAATGTTAATAATTTATTTCTCTTGTATAGGATTGAGATACATTGAATTAATATTATTTTCAATGTAATTTACAGAAGATACTGATTTTGATACAGGTATATTTTCTGCTAAGTTTGGTAAAACATTCACATAATAAACTCACAAAGAGGAATCAAATCATTTAATGACTAAAACCAATAAAAATCAGTTGTTGCCTCTGAACTTGGATTTTGAACCTCTAAATTAATGTCAGGGTTTGTTGTTTGTAGTCTAATGACTCATGCTTTATTTGTATTGATGTAACATGATAAACAGTTAGTTAGTTAGTTAGTTAGTTAGTTAGTTAGTTAGTTAGTTAGTTAGTTAGTTATGTTCAGAGTGATCTGTTTCACAGACTACTCTTATAGCTGCAGGAAGAGCTCACAGGAGAAGGTAAAACATGACAGGTCAGAACAGAAAGGTCAGACTCATGAATAAAAATAAGAAATGTTACAGGATTCATTACAGCCTGGGTTGTCCTTCTCATTTTATTATTACTATTATTATTATTATTATTATTATTATTATTATTATTTTATCTTTTAGAAACTCTTGTTTGTTTTAGCTTCAGCAGTTCAGTTAATTAAAACAAAGTAACTAAGGGTTGCAAACACAGAAAATGCTGTTTCTCAGGTTTTCTCCTGCTTCCAGTGTTTTAATCAAATTTAAATATTATCTTCACTCGTTTTCATGATTTTAAATGAATTAAGCATAAGTGTTTCTGTAGCAACACCTGCACAAACTGAGACAAGTAAATGATTTGTCTGAAGCTCGAGACTTTACGACGTAACCATGACTTGCATTTTCACAGCAGGTAAATCAGTCTAATTTATGATTCATTTTTTATCATTTAAATGTAGAAAAAACGTATAAAAACTGCTAATTAACAAAGAGGCTATTAAAAGAGTGTTTCTTACTTCAGTTTGGTGTTGAAGCGTTAATTAAACCTGCAGGGAGGAAAACGGAACAAAAACAAAAAGCAGCAGAGGGAGGGAGGCAGAGAGCCGCACTGCGCATGTCCGGAAAAACAAGCAGGTCACGTGGGCACAGGGGACGCGCGCGGAGCGGAGGCTTCAAGTAATGTTTTAACCAGCAGGTTGTTATCTTCTATTTACTGCATGCAGACTAACACGGTTTAACTTTAATGTGGTTTGTTGTTTTCTGTTCCGGCTTATGTGCAACTGTTTAAAATGTTAAGAGTTTAGTTTAATTAGTTTAGGAGCTAGGACACATTTAATGAGGAGTTTAGGAGCTAGGACACATTTAATGAGGAGTTTAGGAGCTAGGACACATTTAATGAGGAGTTTAGGAGCTAGGACACATTTAATGAGGAGTTTAGGAGCTAGGACACATCTAAAGAGAAGTTTAGGAGCTAGGACACATT